GGGGGGTAATGAAAAGGGGAATATGAGGGGGGGATACAGGGGAATAATAATATCAAGGAGTCATGAATTACTTGCTTTATTAACTGAGTGAGTGCAGTTTTCTTTTTAAAAAAATCTTCTAAAGAATTCCATTAAAAGGACCAAAAAATCAACTCTTGACCCCCTGCTGGGGTACTTGCAAAGCAGGATAGAACTGTACCGTAACATTTGACTCATAATCGAGGCCAGAGAACTCTGTGTGTATATTTATCAGAAACTGTTTGAATCGCTTAAAAACGGAAGTGTACGCTAGCGTATAGTGTGAACTCAGCACAGCTGTTGTTTCAATAATCAACTATGCCTCAAAAATACAGAATATTTTTTTAAATCAAGTATTCTTCAACAGACGTTTCTGTAGATTAAGAGGGATAAGTTCTTAATTAGTCATAGGTTTAACCGGGTATTGTTGGGAACCGAACATGCCATTTTTCCAAATGGGGGGTCATTTGAAATCATGCCTGTAGTACCTTTCAAGTTAAAAATTTTACTAGCTCAGAGAAATTCCATGATTTTTCCAGGAAAAAAATACTAAATTTTTTGTCTGAGAGTTAATTTTTCTGCTCACCCTGTATGTTGTTGCTTAAAGCGTGTGCATGCCATGGAATAATTATAATAACTCACCCAGAGTCTAAAACTAAAGAATGCGCGAATTTTAAGTTCGAGGTTAAAAGTTCTGTAAAATAATGAATAGCTACTTAAATATTAAACTTTCTCAATATTAAATTTGAATTTTCCGGGAAAAATCTGAACCAATCAGAGAAAAGGATTTACGGAGAATATTACATAACCATCGCTAATCAGCTGTTCTTACGTAACCGAAAACAAAACATACAACCGTTTTTTTGGGTTTACATCCAAAAATTTATTTATCTAAAACGTGAAATTTCTTTAATAAGATTTTCACTTTTAAATATATCGTAAGTTGAATGCCGCTTTCTCAGCTGCAGCTGAATGATGATTGAATAATAGACAAATAGGGAAAATGCAGGATTTCAAGATTTTAAACCTGTGTTTAAATTTTAACTCGTCGATTTCGGCGAGTTAAATATTTAACCACAGGGTTAAATATTTAACCTCACGGTTAAAGTTCAGGTTTAAATTAAGTCAGAAGTGGCATTTAACCATGAACTTAAAATTTAAGTCAAAACTTTTTAGTTCTTTAGTTTTAGACTCAGTTCAACAGAAATAATAAAAACTCTACTAAACTAAAACTATTTCCGGTTTTCACTCTGTATGAAGGCTGAAGAAAAGGAAAAAAATAAAATTTTCTTACATAACATTTAATTTGTAAAAAATGATTTATGTTAATTAATGTTTGTGAAAGGGATAAACATGTATTTCAAGTGAGATTCTATTAAAAAATGGTTTATGTTAATTAATGTTTGTGAAAGGGATAAACATGCACTTTCAATAAAAGATTCTATTAAGAAAAAGGTTTATGTTAGTCTATGTTTGTGAAAGGGATAAACATGTTTTTCCATGTGAGATTCTATTAAAAATTGGTTTATGTTAATTAATGTTTGTGAAAGGAATAAACATGTACTTTCAAGTGAGATTCTATTAAGAAAAAGGTTTATTTTAATTAATGTTTGTGAAAGGGATAAACATGTACTGTCATGTGAGATTCTATTAAGAAAAATAGCATGTCCGGATTTCCAATGCTATAACTCTTTATACGGTATACCCTTGTTTGATTAATAGGATTAATAAGATGTTCTTATTTATTTTTGAATCATAAATGCCTGTATTTGAATGGATGGTCACTTGAAACTACGTGAACAGTCCCTTTAGGTAGAATTTAGTTAATCAGAATGTTCGCGAAAAATGAAAGGGGTATAGGCTTTACATAGATTAAGCCTGCTTATAAACAGTCTCATGAATTCTATTTTTAAGACAAGTTTAACTTTGAAGTGTCGCAACACCTTGGGTTTAGATTTCGCCGCTCTAACTCACTTTTCTGTAGCCCTTTACATGTACATTTCAGCTTTGGCTTTAAGGAAGTAATTGGCAAAATTCTCAACGATTTTTGCTTGAGAGCTTGAGACCTTTAAATCACAGTGGCTAACGTCGAAAAATATTGAAGAGCGTAGAGTAACAGGAATTAATTTAATTAAATCACCAAAGTGAATTAAAAAAAGTGCCTAACATGTCATTTTAATCTTGCTATTCATTAAAATATTTTCATTTATTTCGTTAATTAAAGTTTTTCAGTAATTTCAAACGTAATTTCAAGCGTAATTTCAAGCGACTCTTAATGCAAAGATGGAAATTTCCGATTTACATATATTAGATTTCTATCTCTTTGGATATCCGTACATTGTTTTCTCCAATGAGAGTGCAGGAATATAGTTAGTAAATTGTATTGACCAATGACAGCCTTGTAAATAAATTCTATCCCATGAGAGAAATCCGCAATCTGTAACAAATAAAGAATATGTTGTCGGCCATTTTTTAATTGGTGGAGAAAAATATTCAATCCATGATTTTGTTTCTTTAAACTGGTTTCTTTCATTTGCGGTTTCTCTGCAAATAGGACTTCTGCATTCCTTTCTTAAACGGGCTGTAAAGGGAAAATGAAAGGGGGTATAGGGTGGAACCTAAGCATTAAAGGAGTTGATCGAGACCTATCAGAGTTCTATCTGATGATCCTGTCTCGAGAAAATGATAAAAAAAAAAAACTGTGCAGATCCTAGTGTCAACTACAACTCTTGGACCTCTTTGACTATCAGGGCGGCTGACAAGAAAAACAGGACTCCCTTGCTGTTGGTTTGCGTCATTTACGTTTTCCGCCAAGTGATAATGGATTAAATAATCCAAAATATCATTAAGTGAACGCTCTTCATTGTCAGAAATGTTGTAAGACGATGTGAGTTTTGGGAGGGGTGATTTTAGGGGGATGGTCATTTTAAGTTTTTTCCCATTCCAAGATTTCATTTCTCCTACATCCCAAGTATGTCTTGCAATCAAATTAGGGTAAGAATATGTAGATGCAGTATTTTAAAATGCTGTAAAAGAAACACCAAAACTTATATATATGAGATTTGTTACAATAATCAGGGCATATTCAGCAAATACGAAACCAATCTGAAAACTATAATATTACAGAGGAGCCTGAATAGCTTAGGCTTGCTCCTATCATTATTTGAATTTAATAATTTTTCATCTCTAATAGATATAATTGATACACATTATCAGAACTCCCCAATGGCAGTGCAGTACCATATGTCATGTGATACAGACGGAGACACGTGACCATGATACTGTTTCCATATTGCAGGTGTACTTCAGACATTTGTGCTATATAACCTTGTCATTGGTGAAAATTCTGGTCTCGTTAAACACGTTATTTTAATTTAATAATTTTTCAATTTTATTAGATTGATAATATAATTGATACGTCTGTATCATGTGACCAGAACTTCTACCAATGGCAGTGCAGTATCATTGTGACATGATACATTACATACGGAGACACTTGACAATAATACTTCACAGCAATCATAGAGAATAGAATATATATTAGAGGGGAATTTTAAAAATCTCTTGGTATGAATTTTGTCAGTCCCTTTCAGCCTGAAAGGGAGTTCAAAGTGTACAAATCATGTAAATGTTCACAAATTATATGAGTAGAGTACACAAATACAGTATGTTCCCTAGACTATCCATTTCAATTTCGAATTTTTTAAAGCTGTTAAATAAACTTTATAATGAATTAGGTGAATAAAAAACATCATTTGATTTTTAGTTATAGCGGAAAATCATCGTTTGTAAAGTGGAACGCATAGAGTCTATGTGAAATGATCATTGGTCAATTATGAAACCAGCCTATTTCATAATTTGGATTTCTTTTAATATTAATTTTAGATTTTCTATAAAATTATATTCTAGGGCCCAAAAGATTATATAGCATAAATATGTGAAGTACACCTGCAGTATGGAAACAGTACAACAAAATGTCCGTTTAACACTTTTTTCAAGTAAATTCCACTCTAATATATATTCTGTTCTCTTTGACAGCAATTGGTGGAAGCTCTTGTCATGTGTTACAGACGTTTTAATTATCGAGGTCTCGATCCACTTTAGGTTTCAGCCAGAGGTAAGAGATTTACAGAGATTGATTATCAGCTAAAATATGCGATATTTTCAACAGTATGTTCTATTGTGTACAAGTACTGTACACGACCAATCACAGAGAACATCTGTATTCAGGGATATTTAAGGATCTTTTATGATACGAAACACAAAATCTTTAAAAAAAGACTGAATTCATAAATTTTATGTTTCATAATGAAAATTGGAGTATTTCTACTTAACCCCTGAATGGGTATTATATGTTCAACAAGTGGCCGTAAGATGGCACTCTAAAAACCTATCGTAAAAACGTAGGATGTCGTGCCGGGTCAACTTAGGCCTACGTAGCCCACACTGTGTAAGTAGATAAGCAGTCTGTGTAGACGTAGTCCGTGGTTTCAGCCTATATCCCCTATAATTTTCCCTTAACAAGCATTAAAAAGCAATGCATGAAGAAAGGCACGAAAATATACGTACACTTTTCAAGCATTGACATCTTTGCATGGAGGGTCATTTAAATTTACGCTTTCAATCCCTTTTATAGATTGAAAAATATCTAAAGAATCACAGAAAAATACACGCACCCCTGACCCTTCAGTAAAAAAGTCAAACCACGTCAACCTTGTTGCACCAGCTAGTCCTAATAAGCTTTATTTACCCATGTACTGGTGATACAGTACACACTGGGACCGGAAAGGTTGACCCGGCTCGGAAATTCAAATGTACTACGGCTGCCCGTGATGTATTTTGGAATAAATCAAAATGCCTCGTTGCGTATGAAACCTCATATAAGCAAAATAGATTAAAAATAAAAAAAAAGAACTGCGAAGGTTTATATTTTACAAAAATAATACATATAGCTAACTATACAATATATATAGTATTAACACAAAAATACTAATAGTATGACTAAATTACAAATTATCTACTTAGAAAACATCAAATATGAAATTTTCCATGGTTCACTATTTGATAGTATATGTAACTTTACAAAAAAAAATAGAATATGAATATTTAAACGCTTTTGTGTGGTATTATTTGAATTTGTTATGGCTGTTCAAATTTGTTGAATTTTGACAGTTTTCTAATGTCTAAATCCGCAACTAAAATGTGTTTGCCAAATAAATAAGTATTTTTGTGCATGTAAAAGGTACATGAATGTGAAGTGATTGCGAACGGCTGAGCCAAAGGCTCAATTAAATTCGAATAACAAACAAAAATTTAACATATGATCTTAGCGTTGTGTTAAGAAATGATGTTAAAAGATTATCTCCCAAGCGAGGTATCAATGTGTTTAAACTAAAGTGTTTTAATAATTTCAGGTTTATGTTTGGACGGCAGTGTTTTGTGTTTATTAAAGCAAGGTTTTTGGGTTTACAATTACATCATTGTTGCAAATTTATTATTATTTCCTAAAAATCTACGAAAATGTCAAACTGCAGAAAATCCGAAAATATTCGATGTGAAATCTTTCATCATGACGTAAGTTTAATTTTAATAATTTGTTTAAAATAAATACTAAATTTAATGATTAAACTATTAATCTATATAATGGATAAACGGCTATGTAGACGATGAATGAATGAATGAACAAGGATGACTGCAGATTTCCCCCTGTATTCTTCCAAATCCCTAGATCTGAATTCATCTTAGCGTACGGTTCTCCTAAAAGAATATACATCTATTACAGAAATGTTAAACTTATCCAAATGTTTTAAAAGTTTGTTTGAAAACTTCGATTTATTGATTAATAAAAAAGAACTAGATAGGGAACCCAGCTTTGCCTTTTATAAAAGTCATCTCACCCAACTAAGAATTTATACCCAAACTAAGATGTTATAATTGTTAGATAACATTTGACACAATACAAAAAAGGAAATATAAATATAATACTTAAATTGAATTCTGTGACAACCTTTTTTCCTGGAGTTTTTCAATGCAATTTTTTTTTTTATTTCAACTTCAAGTTTATTTTCTTTATCATTATAATTTTAGGCATAGTTCATGTTGTATCGTAAATTATTTTTATTGTTATCAAAAAATCCAGGACTTCTGAATTTTGTAGATTTTAGAAATAGGAATCTTCTAATCCCTATATGTATGAAACCTGATGGTTTAAACATTCAATATTTCAAGTTCATACTATGGAACAAAATTCATAATTTGAAATATCTAAGGTCTTAAACATTGGGTTGCAAAGATATAGGAATTAGAAAATCTGAGATCCTTTGACAATCTTTTGAGATTAATGACATTTACAATTGAAAAATAAATTTTGTCATGTACATTTTTACTAATATTTATTTTCCTTGACTGTACTTTAAATAGAACATTTCAGTTGGGGTTTTTAAAAATAGTAAGCCATGGGTGTTGAATAAACATTTAAGTTTTTTTTTGAAAAACTTGAATTTTTCCAATTTAAAAATATCAATTTCTTTATGGATAAGGAAATACTTAATATTATTAACTCCAAAATTATCAATTATTTTTAATATTGAAATATTACAAGGGGAAACTCGTAATTAATTTCATTCTATGTATTTTTGTTAATTGTTTGTCAAATAGAGTCTTTGCCACAAACTCAGATTTTTTAAGACCTAAGTCTTAGCCCTGTAGCGAGGGGAGGAAGGCCAACCACATCAATCTCTAGTCCGAACCACATTCTCATCATTTTCTCGTCCGAACCACATCGAAATCCTCGTTCTTTCAATATTATTTTTTTTAAGTGTCCGATCCTTGAAAATAAATACATCTTTTAAAAATATGGCGACGTTAGGGCATAACACATGACCAGAATAAAGTTTTCCAAGGATTTTGAGATGTTGAAATCTTCAAATCCACGAGAATGATGTCAAACATTATTTAGGTTCAAAATTGAATCTCTTCTGCCTTCAAAATGGATAACTTTCACTAATAAAAATTTATACCAAAGAATTCGCGTGAACATGGTCTTTAATCTTTCCATTTTAACCCATACAAAATAATCATTGATTTCTGATTTATTTACAAATAAGGTAGATTTGTTGTTCCCACTAAGAGATCACATTCACTACTGCCTGCCGCATGCTTAAAATTATAGAAAAAATAATGTTCAATTTATATTATTCAAATCATTTGCTACAATTAATTGGTCACAACCCTATGAATTCAAACAGTATTTAATCATATAAAAATTTTAAGTCATATCTCTAACCCAAATTCAGCTGAAATATTACAAAAAGTTGTTTACATCGAGTTTGAGAATGTTTTGCGGCATTTTCCGCGAAAGAAGGGGCCCTAGATACAGACGCTTTTTTGTAGAACATCGTTTATGAAGCATTTTCATTTTTACACAAATCTAAAATTTAATTGGGAAAATTTTATATTTCATATATGGCCTAACGTCGCCATATTTTTAAAATATGTATTTATTTTCAAGGATAGGACACTTAAAAAAAATAATATTGAAAGGACGAGAATTTCGATGTGGTTCGGACGAGAAAATGATGAGAATGTGGTTCGGACTAGAGATTGATGTGGTTGGCCTTCCTCCCCTCCTGTAGCTTAATTAATAAACAAGTTATTGACGATTTCTGATTTTTTTAAACACCCACCCGCCGTTTAACAAATCTCCGCCCTTACCCTATGCATCATGCAAAATTTGTTTACAACTATTATGTTAAAAAAGTAAACAAGTTTGAGCGTTCTAATGTAAGTCATTTTTAAATTTATTCAGAATAAACGACAGGGGGGGGGCGGAAAACACCCCCCCCCCCACCGTGAATGGGTTAACAACAAAATTTTTTATTTAATGATATCCGGGTTCAAATTTATTCATTCTAACTTTCTTGATTGTCAATCTAGGCCACACCAAATCTACGGAATTTTACATATTATTCAATTGAATATCCATGGCTCATGTCTAATCCTCTAAACCTTTAAACATAGACTAATAACAATACAGATAGAACACTAGATGTCGTATTTACAAGATTTAGGGGTTTTTCGTTTACAATAACTCTGAGGCAGAAGAACAAAGGATCGTTACGTGCATGCTCTCTCTCTGTCTTGTAATCAACGCTGCCTTTGCGGAAATCCTATGTGCCTCTGCCTCAGGGTTATTGTGAACGAAAAGCTCCTAACCCTTGAAAAGACGACATCTAAAGGTCTGTATTGTTATAAATCTAAACCTTAAAATATCTATGGAATGAAATCGTAGTTTTTTTAACAACAATTGATAAAGGGTTTAAGGGGTACCATATAGGGTTCAAGGGGTACCTTATAGAATCAGACGTGCTACACGTTTGACTTGATAAAAACATATAAAACTAAGTCTACAGTCTCTTTAAGTACGTACAGCGGGTGGCTTTTAAATCCATCCAAGGAAGACGACTTTTTGATTTAAGTTTTGATTTCTAACATAGCTTTTAAAATACAAGTAAACAAAGAGAAACTGTGAAGTTGAGAGCTTCTCTTTGTTTACTTGTGTATGTGTATCTATTCTGTTTGAAAGCTTGGTACACACCAAAATAAAAATCAAAAATCGTCTTCATTGTATGATATACTAATAAATGTATTACCTGATAAGTCGTCTTCATTCAGTCTCGGTGTTCGATCCCTCAGTGATGAGTTGACCTCCAGAGAGTATGGATCAAGGTCAAGTTCAGGTAAACTCTCAAGGTCAATCTCAGGGACAGATATTTCACTGGAGGAGGGGAAATTTAGTTCTTATTATTTATTATATTATTTATTTTATTTTTAGTATATACTGTAAAAGTTTGACATATTAAGATCAATTCTATCAAATTTTAAGTGGAAAAAAGTTCGACTAAGATGTAAATTATGGATTAAAAATTGAGACTTAAATGATAAAAAATACAGTTAGACGAATAAAACTGCTTAATAGAAAGACTACATTTAAGCAATCTTATGTATTTGATGTTATTATATTATAAATTAAATTTTCCCTGAGAGCATCTAACAATTCTTTCTCATGCTGAGAAATATCAGAACCTGGTTCAGATTCAGATTCAGGTTCAGAATCTGATTCAGGTTCAGATTCCGAATTAGATTCAGGTTCAGGTTCAGGATTAGATTCAGGTTCAGGTTCAGAATTAGATTCCTGATTTCCAGAATCCATTCTTCTGTTCTGATCCTCATCACTATTTGTGTGTTCAGGGTGTTCAAGTTGTGAATCCAGAGGAACTATCTCAATAAGATCCTCATCACTAGCACTACTGTATACATGAGTGTCTTTGGATGCTTCTTCGTTTACATCTCTGAAAAATAAAAATAAATCATAAATACTTATGTCTTAAAACATTTTTAACAAATTGACATCTTAATTTCTAGTTACCATTACTCTATCTAAGATATGTGGACCCATCCCCCACACACCCTGTGTAGGTTTATACCCAAAATTACAGAATATGTAAAATAGGATGCCGCTGGATCGAATCCAATGCTTTAAGGTAGAAGATAGAGAAAGATAGGATGAGTCCAGAAGATAATCTTATTTTTAACCAATATTGTTACATTATCTAAGGTGTCAAATAGAGAAAGATAGAACGTCTAGAAGATTATCATATTTTACCATTATTGTTAAAGGCATATGAGATTGGGAACGTGAAATAATTTTATTACATTCTTCTTTTAACATACTACAGTGATAACCAGAAACTTTGACATTGTGCAGTGAAAACAGACCCATTTCACTGAATTAGTAATTTAATGTCGTCCGCTTATTCCATTTTTTTTCGAATTCTCACTGTAAATAGTGAATAAGTTCTCTAGATAAAGCTAAAAGGTCATGTGTCACCCTTCCTTGAAACAAAAAGTTAAAGGGAATGTAGACGGTGTTTCAAGTGGCTCTCCATTCATAGATTACCATACCCAACTCTTGTTTGAACTTTGAACCTAGTGCCGCGCCAGAAATTATAATTTACTTTGACTCCGAGAAATGAATAATAATATTAGTTTTTATATAACAGCTTGCGTAATAGTTTTAATAATACAAGTGGTTCTACGTTTTCAGTTTGAAAGATGTTAATAATTTGATCATCTTTTACTATACATGATTCAAAGTTGAATTGTAAACGCCAATCTACAACTGGAAGATCACTCAAAATTACGTATGCAGGCCCTTTAAGAAGAATAAATATTTGCATCAGAAATTCCTTAAAGTGCATGTTTAAGACTTGACAGGACTAACTTACACATTTCCATTTAGTTTCCATGCGTCATGCGTTCCAAGGCTAGACTTAGTGACAACAAGATACCTGGTACTTGTGAAGGTAAAGGGGGTTGAGGTACTTGTGTAGGTATATATACCGGGTGGGGTGGAGGTATGGTAGATATACCTCGCTATCTCGTAAACTATTGTAGTTCGAATACGCTTCGTTGAGGAAGGAACTACTGCTGATGCTTCTGAAGTTGTACTTTCTTTCCAGGTTGTTGTTGGGGCTTCCGTTATTATTGTTATTGTTGTTGTTGTTGTTGTTGTTGTTGTTGTTGTATCTTCTTCCGATGCTTTTGTTGGAGGTGGATCTGTCTTCACTCGATCTCTTTGAGTTAGAAGGATGGATTTATAATAAGTTGTAGCACTTTGACTTTCGAAGGAGTCATCGATATCATTTTCAGAACTAATGGTTGTAATATCGTTTTCACTTTCAGGATCAGTGACTGTTGCCTCATCATTGTTATTTGTGTCATTGTTAGTGTCTTTAATGGTATCACTTTCCATATCGGACTCAACAACGTTTTCAGAGTCTTTTTCAACAACTCCTATAGAATTAGCATCAACTACTATGCTAGTCTTTGGAACTATTGTAACAGATTCACTTGAGTCAACCAAGTTGTTTCCATCTTCATCGAGATCTGTTTTAATCTCATTTTCAGCCGGCAGTACAGTTATAGGAGGAGAACTAACGTCAGTCCAGTATGTTCTAAACAAAATTTTATTTTTAAGATAAATTGGCTGGATTAACTTTTATTTTTTAAATATCCTGGGACCGAATTTTTTTAATTTGAGGGGTCGCTAAACTGCATCCCGCCGGTTCAAATTTGAATCAATGATTCAAATTCTTTCTGATTCTTTAACTTTAATTACCCTTCAACCAGAAGGGTTTTAGATAATTTTATGCTTTGGAAAATATTAAGAAATATGAATTCAAATGTTAACAATATCGAAATGGCACGCCAATTATTTAACATGTAATATAAAGTTTAAACTTATAAAAAGTACATATTAAAGAAAATCCCAAATATTAATACTGGAAGATGATAATTCAAAAGAATGCGGGAACTTCATAGCAAAAAATTCGCAAATATTGAAAGGTGTACTCAGCTGGAGTGATATTTTACTTTTAAACTTATAAGAAAATGGTGAAAATTTTACCCCAGCTCAGCTAGGAATATAAGGGTTTCAGAATATTTTCGCCATAGATTAAAAAGAGGCCACCCAGGGCAAAAACACCATTTAAACACTACTATTTTACCTGTAATCCAATACTACAGTTGCACGTAGAATAATTATACCACTGTATATTTCTGGAGGCTTCCACTAATTTATAAAAACATAAGTATTTAGAAAAAGGACGGGGAAATGGAGAAAGGAAGGTTGGAGGAAGGAGGGGGGGGGGGGGATAAAAAAGGATAAAATAAAAGTGAATCCCAGATATATGAATACATAGCAAGAGTTTTTATAATGTCCTATTTCATATTTAAGATCAAATACCGCGGAAAAATTATCCCTGAAATATGAATGCAATTGATATATTAATATTAAACTCATTTTTCCGCGGCATTTGATCTTAAAGACTTAAATATTATAAAAACTCTTGTTATGTATTCATATGTCTGGAATAAAAAAAACACTTGTTGGTATTCAGTGAAGTAAATCTGAGGTTTTTAATGGAATACAAATTATTTGTGAGTCCATTGAAGTTCTATTCTCCCTATGGTCAAGAATAACTTTTATCATGCCGTCATTCTAGGAATTTTATTTAATCTTAGAAAATTTGGTAAAATCTTTAAGGAAAAAGGCAACTATTCGAGTTCACTTCAGTTCAATTTTAGATTTTTGAAACTAAATCCAGATTTGACATGAATTCATCATTAAAATATTTAAACATTGTTAGTAAAATTATTAGTTTTTCAAACTTAAATCCAGATTTGACATGAATTCATCATTAAAATATTTAAACATTGCGTGAGTAAAGTAAAGTTTTTTTAGAAGCTTTGTGAAATCTTTAAAATTTAATAAATAAATTTTTTGGATATTCCTTATAAAAATTGATGAAAACTTTAAAAAAATTCTTAAGGAAAAACTTTCTTTAGATTAAGTTTTAGAATGTTACTTTAATCTTCATTGAATTCTCTCATGACAATTTTAGAAACGATATTCTAATTTGAGAAAAAAAATTTTAAATTTATTTAGCTCTGTTTGATTCTTTGGGGACGTGGGTGTGGTGGCAAAAACACAATGAACAACAAATTAAAATTTAGGAGCAAAATACATGCATCTTAACCCTATCACGGTTGGGGAAGGGGACGTGGTGTCGACTGTTCGAAAACTGTTTCAGATAGAATGCTCATTGATCAAACTTCTTAATTTTACAAACTTCGCACTTGAAATTTTTCAACAAACCCCCCCCCCCCAAAAAAAAAAATTACCCAATCGGGATAGGGTTTAAAAATACACCAATTATAGTTTTGCCCAGCTATAGTTGATATAATGAAAGTGTGAAAAACTTTCAAAGACCTACGCTTATAATTTATAATAATTCTTATAATTTTTTTTTATTTTAAAAAAAAGACTTTGTAAAATTGTTTGAACATTTTTTGATTTTTTTTAAATATTTGCGTGGGATAAATTTTCATGATTTAATATTTTTTTACTTTTTTAAAGTTTACTTTTAAATACAGTGATAACCAGAAAACTCTAGAATAGGAAGTCGACTTTTGGACCCAAGTTAAAGCATTAAATAGTCAATTGAACATGAGGCACAACAACAGTGCAGTGTAAACAGACCCATTTCACTTAATAATTTATTTTATAACTTCCTAGTAAAGTTATGTGCTTTACAACAATATCTATATCTATAAATGCAGTTTTCTGATTTTTACAGTTTTATGCATTTGATCAAATTGATAATTCCATTCCTGCTTCCTTAAGAGTGTACAATTCCTGACAGGAAATTTTGAAAAATATATTTTTAGAACAGTATTATTTGGCAAAAGCAGGAGAATTTGTGGAAAAATTTTTAAATTTTCTAGTGAGTCACAACGAGAATTTGAAGGAAAACTAAATTATTAATAGTTGTTTTATTTTTCACGAATTCATTCTATTTTTAATTGAGAGAGAAAATATTCTATAATTTGGTTAACGGGGATTTAGACATAATTTATATATTTAAAGTTTGATACCAATTAACAGCAGTACCCTTATTTAGAGTTAAAAAAAATAAAGAAAATCCTCGTATTTTCGACTTGAAAATTGAAAATTTTAATTGGGATGTCTCTTTCAATGTTAGATAAGGATGTGTGCAGCAGAAAAGACAAAATTAAACATTTTTAAAACGAGAATATAGCTGCCTTATTGTTGATCAATGAAATTTCTAACTGGTCGGAAATACAACTTTTAAAATGATGCGTCATTAGAAATTTCATTCCATGTCAAGCTCTTTGTTCAGTTGTTAAGTGCTTTATTAAAAAATATAGATTATGAAAAATATGAATTATGTTTTGCTGCCTGAAAGGATACAACGTATATGCTACTGGTTCGACCACTGTGCGTTACAGCATTCTGTTGTCCAGTCCCACAGTGCAGGTACCTAGGTTAGTATGGTTGATAGGTAGGTAGGTAGGTAGGTAGATACGTTGGTAGGTTGGTAGGTTGGTAGGTTGGTAGGTTGGTAGGTTGGTAGGTTGGTAGGTTGGTAGGTAGGTTGGTTGGTAGGTTGGTAGGTTCAATAACTGTTTCACCACTTAACTTGGTTGTATTTTTCACTTCTAAACGTGGTTGAATTTTAATAAAAAAATTAAGGGCAGGTTACATGCTTATAAATGGAGAGGGAGGATCGTCGATGAAACATTTTATTCTAAAATACCGTTTTAACCTTCAAAAGGTTCTGGAAATATACTTGGTTCCTTTTTCCAAGGTTTTCAAAAGAAATTCCAAATATCTGTTGATGGTTTTTTTTTTAAATCCACAATTGGAAATGTGAAATTTATTCTGTTCTGTTGTATAAAACGTTAAAAATAAATTTGTATCTGAAATTTATTTTGAAAATCTTTGGAAAAGGGATCGAGCACAATTTCAAATATTAGGACTACTTTTGTAGGTTAAAACGGCATTTATAGCAACTGTTTCTTCAACAACATAAATTGGCTTTATTTCGACTTTCAATACTGTTTTGAACAATAAACAAAGAGCTAAATAGGATGAACACATTTTTTTCAGGTGCGTAAAAATAAAGTAATATGTTGTAAGTCAGGTAGATAAGAGGGTGCATAAGTTTAAAATAATATGCAAAAAGGTAGTTAAGGAGAAAGACGAGTAATCATTAAGTAATATGTAGTAAGGTAGGTAGATAGAAGGTCTATGTAGAAAGGTGAATAAGTATAATGTAAACTGTTTACAGGTGGTACGATAGGAAGGATAATAAGTATAAAGTAAAGTGTAGCAAGGTAGATAGATATGTAGGTAATGGAGTATAAAGTAGACTGTATACAGGTAGTAAGATATAACGGTTAATAAGTATAAAGTAAAGTGTATTAAGGTAGAAAGATAGGTAGGTAAGTGAGTATAAAGTAAAGTGTATTAAGGTAGATAGATAGGTAGAAAAGTGAGTATAAAGTAAACTGTATTAAGGTAGATAGATAAGTAGGTAAGTTAAACTGTATTAAGGTAGATAGATAAGTAGGTAAGTTAAACTGTATTAAGGTAGATAGATAGGTAGGTAAGTGAGTATAAAGTAAACTGTATTAAGGTAGATAGATAGGTAGGTAAGTGAGTATAAAGTAAAGTGTATGAAGGTAGATAGGTAGGTATAAACTGTATTAAGGTAGGTATAAATTACCTTGCTTCTGACAGTATAGAACTATCATTAAGATATGGAATATACCAGCTTCCAAAAGCTCCTTCTTCGGTATTTTCTAAGATATAAAATGGTCATTCTATAATCTGGGGATGCTGCAATTATGTTAGATTTTTTTGTCTTGTTTTTATAAGAGTAAAAGACGACATCAGTGTATAGAGATGTAACTTTATAACCCTATTTCAAAATTTTAGATTTATATCATGCTAGCTTTAGTTAATTGTCCGTGGTATTTTAAAATCGTCCAACATCCGGCCGAAATAGTCCAACGTTCGGCCAAAATAACTAAATTTTATAATTTTGTTTAACTTTGTGTGATGAGTTTACATACAAAAGTCCATATATGGAATATATAACATAAATATTTATTATCTAATTTCTAACCTTTATCTGCTGTTGTAACACTCTCTGCCTTGAGAAGAAATCCTTTTATAGGTCGGGTGCTTCGAAGAGTAACTCTAGACAAACAGAAATTAAATATTAAATCAAAATTTCGAAACCAGAGCCCGCGATTTAAAATTTTGGGGAAATACGGCTCGGGTCTAAGATGTCGTTGGACTTTATTTACGGCTTGAGCTTTCGGATTCAAGCTGAATCTTATTTTCCACAGAGTTGAATTCAAAAAACCGGTTTAATATTCTATTTGGCGGATTTTCATGGTATGAATTGGCGCATTTCCAAAGCAGTCGAAGCAGTGATTACTACTTTATAAATGTACATAGATAAAAAAAATGGTAATTAATAATTTTATGAATTACAAAGTGAAATTACAATTTCTTTTTTAAGAGTCACAATGATAACGTTTCAACCATGTACATTTTACCTGAGCAAGAATATTAAAGATATTTTAGAATTTCTATGAAAAAATAAAACATTTTAATTGTGGTTTCGCTGCAAAAGTGGATTAATAAAATTCATTTGATTTCAAGATCGAAAACCGATCATTTTTGCTCAAAAAGGTCACGTTTTGATTTTAAAACTTTCAAAATAATGTCAACTTGAAAAATTGCAAACAGTCCTTTTAACTTCATTTGATTGACATATTAATAACCTTAAATACTGGTCAGCTGGTAGAGTGTGCCGGTCAACCACTAGCTCAGCAGGGGACTCAGTACTCTAAATAGATAGATAGATAGATAGATAGATAGATAGACAGATAGATAGATAGATAGATAGATAGATAGATAGATAGATAGATAGATAGATAGATAGATAGATAGATAGATCAAATTTGGGCGGCAAACTTAAAATATAAGAAGTAGGAAATATATTAATGTAGAAATTTTACTTTCTAAAATGTAATAATATGAAATGTTTTGTCGGGGGGTGTGGGGGGGGGAGGGGGGGGGCATAATCGTTTATTCATGTTGTTGTGACATAAGAGTACAAGTTGTTAAACTTTCTAGACTCTTTTTCTGGTGTATGTAACCTAGATCGGTTTATTTCGTTTTTAGATTCGATTATTGAGTTCTTTCTCAGTAGAGCCACGCTCTTTATTATATCTATAATGAGTTAAACCTTGGGAAATGAGAGCACAGTGGCGTGAATAACTTCTTCAGACAACTCCAATCTGTTTTTTTTTTGTCTGACAGTTTTATTTTCTAATGATTTTGACTTCGTTCCAAGAAAAACTCTTTCTCTCTGCTGTTAATTAGAATTCGTGGAAATTCAAAATAAAAAGATTCCTCTGGAGATCAAATAGATAGAAAAAGTAAAATAGGTGGCAACAGAGAAATGGATCAATTATACACTACGTCACAAGTGTCAAATATAACAAGGAAAACGAAATTTTCTCACATCATTTGGCATTTCAAGATTAAATAAAAAATGTAAAAACGGAAAATAAATAACTAAAAAAATTGCACCTTTTTCACTGTAAGATATTTATAAATAATTTTGTCGGACACTTGTGATGTAAGAATACAGCTTTACTGAGAGTGTACAAATACTACATTTTACTTAACAATCTATTTGTGGAGATTATGACCAATTCGAATTTACAATCTCAGAACTTAAGCAAGAAAAAGAGAATCTCCAGACGTGCAGATAGAGAAATAATTAAACTATGCCTCGTACCATTTTATTTTATAAAAACTATAAAAAAAATAATTATAAAAATTTGAAAAAGAATCCTTAGAATTTTTCGCCTTTTTTATTTTTTATAACATAGAAATAAAAATCATTCTTAAGCTTTAAATCTAAATTTTCTTAAAACAAAGAACAATATAGTAGCAAACCCCCCAATCCCTCAGCGCCCGAGATTATCTTAATTCCGGCCTAATTCTAAGAGAGTGCACATCTTCTGAATGGGGGGAGATAGGTACAACCCCCCCCCCCCCTCCAACCAAATTTAAGTATCATCCATCAAACTAGGTAGTTTGATTATTGGAAACAAATAATAATAGAGGACACCAAAACCAAACGAATAATAAAGGAATTTCAATTTGGATAATTTACGGGTTTGAGGTGAAAGCCTGCACCCCATCTAGCAGGGTTAACAATAAACCTTGAAGATTCATCAAATATTAATTTACTATAGAACCCTAGCATGCATTTACAGAGACCTCAAGGATTGTAATCAATTATTCATAAAAGAATTATAAGTCACTAGCTGAAGGGCCTGGCGTTGCCGGTGGAAAAAAATATTCGAAAAAATACAGAAATAAAAAAAAAAAATTTAATTTTATCGGTCTAGCATTTCTTGCACAAGAAACAAAAAAAAATGATCAGAAATGATTATTTTTGAGTCAAAAAATAGTTGTATTCCCCATTTTTGATCAGGTTTGTAAATCAGCCATTTCCATCTTTGCAATTGTTACACAAATTTTGAGTCAAATTTTCGTGGTCTATTAAAAGTTCTTAACAATATTGAACCCAAGAAAGCGAAAAACATACATTTTAATAACATATTTAAAACATTATTTCCAGTGGCTAATTCACATTCTAGAATGTCACAGTCTGACGTCATTCGAATGTAGATATTTATTGTAAGTTCAGTTTTTTTAACATCATTAATCTAACAATTCAGAATCTAAAGTGCGACTTTTCCACACCGAGCTATGACGTGTGAAACCTAAATTTGACCTTGTTAACCAAATTATAAATCATAAATCAAATTATCTACAGTGAAACCCTTAATAACGAATACATTGAAAGAATTCATCAAATGTCGTATTCTTCACTTTCTGCAGATATTTAGTTTTTTAATTAAATAATTATATGTAACTCTTTAAAACTGTTCCCGCATATTCATGGCTATTTATTTATTTTCGCAAATACTGAAATTTACGTAATATAGTATAAAACTCATTGAAAAATTGTCAAGACGACATTTGATAAATTCTTCCGATGTATTCGTTATTAAGTATTTCACTGTATATAAAAAACAAGACATTCGAATATATATGTTGTGTATAGCCAACCAAATGGGCTGAAATTTGTTTTGTACATTCTTAGGTGGCCGGGGGTGTCATAAGCAAAAAAAAATTCTAAAACTTAGTTTTTCTAAAAAAATTTATTCATTTATTTTTATAAAAAAAAGTGCTTCACATTTTCAACTTTTCCAATTATTCGTCAATCCAAAGTCATGCCGATCATATCTATCATAGATTAATAACCGTACAGATTTTTTGTTCACAACAGCCCTAAGGCAGAAGCCAAAAAAGGATTAACGCCCATGCCGCGTTAAATTACAACACAGAAAGAAAGCCTGTTCTCTGCGGATGCGCGTAACCCATTGGGCCTCTGCCTCAGGGTTAGTGTGAACTAAAAAACCCTAAATCTTGAAAATACAGCATATATTTTCTATCTGTGTTTTTTAATCTATGATATAAATGTTTAGCATTATCCGTATAAATCAAACCATATAATTAAGACTTTAAGAAACACTAGCGTTGAAACCTTTTTTTACCTGTGGTGCGAATCCATGCCTTGGTTTCATATCAGCTGAGCAAGCAGCTGTAGGTGCACCTAAAGAAAATCCCCCGGCACTGCGCAAGTGTACACTCAGTACAGTCAGCTGTAGGATATTCGACCACCAACGCTCCCTAAATTAAAAAAAAATTATTTAAAACTCATATATATTATTTGGAAATTAATTTGTTCTAAAGATTTTTTTATTTTGAACAGACATTTTAAAATTAAATATCATTTTAATAAATAACTTTAAAAAGTGAAACTTGATATGATGAACAATATTTTTTCCATCAAAAATTAGTTTATGAATGATTTTCACACGTTTTGTAGTTTTTTTTTCTAATAATCTTAAACCTTAAAATAGTTTTTAGTTACAAGATGCCGATTATTGAAAATGCTACTTCTACATATTTTCTTAATTAAGGTTGGAAAACAACATTAGAGTTCCGTTAGTATAGTTGTAAATTGTGCTAAGTAGGTTAATAGCTTTAATACACTCTTTACTTTCAGCCTCAAACAAAACTATCTGACACAGCTGTCAGTCAATCAAGGATGTCAATCAAGGATATTAAAGCAAAAATGACAACCAAAGATGTCAACTGTAATTATGTCACTAAGGAAATGGAAATATTAACTTAAGGTAGCAATCTTTTCTGGAAACTCTTGTTCATTTCAAGTACCAGGCCGAAGTTGAACCTACTAGATTAAGCCGTGCAGTACTCAGACAGATTAAAAACTGGACAGTACGCCAAATGAACAATTCCCTTCCGGTGAAATTTGTGTGCCTAGAATGCCATTTAAGGATGCCAATCAAGAATATCAATGGATGTCAAGAAGGAGAATGTCACATAGGCAGTAAATTGAGATAGCAATCAATGTCAACTGAAGCTTTAATCTGAGACCACCAACCAAATCAATAGCAAGTATGTCAACTAAAGATATCAAGTGAGAACTAGAAAACTCTGAAATAGGAAGATGACATTTAGACTCAAGTTATGAGTTTGAATAATCCATTGGACACAGCAATGGTGCATTGTAAACAGACCCATTTTCCTTAATTGGTGATTGATCGTCTTTCTATTTCAGAGTTTTCTGGTTATCACTAGAAGTAATTTGTTCATTAGTGTGATTTCAACAATTTCCCACTAAAGTTAACATTGGCGTAGGTTACCACTTTTCAAACCTGTTTTTTTTACAATAGAACCCTGTTTTTTTTATAAACTATAAAGATTATTGCACAACCTTTCATCTGTTCATAATTCCTTCTTCATGATTCCTAATGTAGAAATAAGAAATATGAGCCACTAATGTAAAATTCCATGCCAATTTTTACTTACTACTTTTTTGAAGAAGAATTTACACAATGTTCCTTTCTTTAAAACAGAATTGTGTGTGCTGGGAGGATATATATTTTGTCACGAAAACAAAAATAAAGCATGGAGTCATTGCCCCCCCCCCCCATCAACTCTTGTTTAAAGAATATAATTTCACAATCTTTCAAATATTCTTTTGAAAAAAATAACAATTTCTAATTATTACCTGACCTTGGTTAAAACACAATAAAACTCACTTTTTTATATAAAAAATGCCTTTCTTTTTTAGAGAAATATCATATGACCTTGTAGCTTATTTTTCTACACTGTTTCTACTAAAATTGGCATATTTCATGTTTAATTAATCTGGAAAATGATCAGTAGTAATGCAGGATATTTTTAAAAGCGCTTTCTGAAAAATTCTTCAAGGAAAAATAGCTTTCTTTTTATAATTTAAATCGATAATGAATAATAGATTAACCTTCACATTCCTAACTAGAAACAGTAATATTTACAATTTAAATGTTTTAAAATAATTTTAAACTTTTGTATATTTATGTTTGTAAGTGCACGCTCTCAGTGCGTACAAGCTGAAAATTTAAAAACCATTTTTTTTTTTTTACTTTTTAAAATATGAACATTAAAAAATGTGGCTGTGATGCCCTGATTCCGATTTTTGGAGTTTTTTTGTTGGTTTGCTTGTAGATATGTAACCATATATAAAAAGACTCAAAACACTGCCATTTTTTGTTGTAATTCAGTTTTTCTGTTAAGAATTTTTGATAACATTTTTTTTAAATCCACCAATTAAAAACTAAAATATCCCCAATTTTTTACGTTGTTATTAATTGTTATTAATTTTATTGTTATTATTGTTATTAATGATTTTTATGATTCTGTTTTGAATAAATATTTTGATGACAAAGAATATTTTGAGGCTGGTACTTAATATCATGATGAATTACATTAATGTTAGTCTAGGAAAACAAAAGTAATATATCATATACCAACCTAACCAATACTTAAATACTTCCTTACATTATACTGGCTTAACCTTCAACTAAACTTACAATTTCAAGTTTTTTTAACAATACAGTAATAACCAAAAAACTTTAAATAGGCATCTTTCAAACTCAAATTATCCAATGAACATGAGACACAGGTAAAGGGGCACTGTAAACAGACATTTTACTTAACTAGTAAAAAAACAGTAGTATCCATACAAATTCAGAAAGTTGCCATAAAGGACTTGTATTGTAAAATTATCAATCTAATTTTAAACAAATCATTCAGATATCACAACCTAAAGTCATCGATTATTTTTTGACGCATTTGTATATAGTTAATATTTCATAATATTTGTTATTTGTTTTATATAAAATGCACTTAAATCAACATGTTTTCCGCTAGGTATCTCTGCCACATATAATCATTCAAATTCCATAGTAATTCTGGGTTATGGTTTACATAAGAAAATGATCCGAAAATTTGTTCCATTCCATTATGGAAAAGGTTACAGAATTCCGAAATTCCGAAAAGATTTCCTGAATGACTTTCCCCCTGTAAACAGAACAATTTCCAGAACATTGTTCCGGAATTACAGAATGTTCTGGAATATTGTTGCAGAAAAATGGTTCTGGAATTTTCTGGGAAGAAGCTGTGGAAAAACGTTAAGGACATCTTAAATTTGTCTTAAACAGTATAGCATATACTACATAATTGCCATGTCTCATGTTCATTGCAATATTTAAAGTCATAACTTAAGTCTAAAAGTTGTCCTCCTATTCCATAGTTTTCTGGTTCTCACTCTATTAATATGCTTTACTCGTCTGTTTGTTTGTCCGTCTGTATCTAATAAACGTCAAAACAGCTGAACCAACCGAGCCAAAAATTTGTGAGGCAGCTCATATGGCCCAAAGGAAGGTTTAAAACTGGTTTATAAATTTATGTGGTAAAAAATGGCGAAATTTATTATTTTTTAATTCACCAATTTAAAGTCTATTTTTTTAAACTCTTATTTATATGGTTTATTTCATCCCAACCTGAGGGGGTAGAGGGGGGGGGGGGGGACCCCTTTGAAAAATAAAAACCAATTTGTCAAAAAATATTGTGGGGAAAGTGAAAACTGTAACTGTAAAATAGTCATGATGAACTAAAGTAAAATATTTGTGAATATATAATTATAGACTTAAATGCGTATTTAATATATGTCAACTAATAAGTTTTAACTTCTAATGTTTTAACATTGCTTTCTATGTCTAACAATGTGTTAAAATTTCCTATTAACAAAATGGAAACTGGAAATTTTATGGTTTTCCCTATGTAAATCTTTAAAACTTTCATTTTTCGAAATGGAAACTGGAAATTTTAGGGTTTCCGTTATGTAAACCTAAAAAATTTCCTGAATTCAAAATGGAAACTGGAAATTTTACGGTTAATGTTAAGTAAACTGGAAAAAATTTTGGTTTATAAAATGGAAACTGAAAATTTTACAATTTCCATTCCGTAAACCAGAAAAATGTCCGGATTTTATCATGTAAGCAGTAAACATTCTGGTTTCCATTTGATCCAGAATTATCCTGGAATTCTGGTTACGTAACAAATTTCCGGATCATTCCATTCATTTCCAAAATGGAAATTTTGTTCTGGAAAAATGGAAACCCTATCTAGCAGCCAACTATTTCGGTGTTTAAAGAGCATTGTATACAAAACAAATATTAAATATAAACTAAATATGAATGCCTTAAATAAAAATCGACTTTAGGTTTTGACCTAAGCCTATACCCCCCTTTCATTTTTTGCAAACACTCCCTTTAATCAAAAATTTGTGTTCAGTACAAAACATCCTATAGGAAAATTCCATAGCTTCAGGAAAAGTATAAGTATTCTAGTTCTAAAAATAAAAATAAATATTTAATACTTTAAAATAATACTTCTATTCTTTATATTTGCAGGAATATCAAATTTTAGCCTAATGACGTTTATTTTAGGTAAAATTCCACATTTAAAAATACAGTTTATTTGCTTTCTTAATTTACGCTGATGATTTACAGAAATAAACACTTTTTGAGTCAGAAAAACAGTCCCTTTAACCTTGAAAAAAACAGTATTGCTGCTCCCATAGCGCTTTTTTTATGAAACTTGACTAAAAAATACTATTTTAAATTTTTTTCTAGCTAGGGTAGAACATATAAAATTAATTAACTATAATTTTTAAAATTTCATTTTGGAAAAGGCCATGAAAAATTAGTATAAATAGTAATATATTTTCACTATTTATGCAGCAATACTTTTGCCGTAGAAGAAAAATTTTCTAGCACCATTTTCACCATTGATCTTATGGTTCTGAAATTTTTAAATCATGGTAGTCCAAGGAATTGTGCTTTTTAACAAAACACATGCATTTAGTGATGTGCCTTTAGTTTGTTTGTTTACTTTACCATTTAACAGTTTTGGAAGTTTTATTATTTTTTTCTAAATATTCAAAAGAATTAAAAAATGCTGCATGCAATGCAATATGCAACCAGTTAAATGTTTAGCCACTTAGTATTTATGTTTTCATCTCTGAACAGATTTGATTTATTCCAATTGACAAATAAAAAAAAATTTAAAATAAAAATAATTGTATTTTTTTTCTTTTTAAAATTTGCCAAACATGATGGATGATGAACAAGCAACAAGAAGAAAATTGAGATTAAGAAAAATAGAGATGTAAATACTTACACCTGATAGCATCTAATTTACGGAATTTTTTTAAAATTAAAATTTAAAAATAATTATTGGTCAAAAAGTTAATTGTGATTAACTTTGGTTTAAAATATTACCACTTTTTCCTCATAATGATAGTTGAAACCTCATCCTCTATCCAGCATTCATTCTTCTAGGAGGCATTTTCTTCAAATTAATTTTCTCTCTGAAATGTTCAAAATAATTCTGTTAAGCATCAAAAATGTATTAAAGTTTTAATCTCAGTTTTTTTCTTGTTTGTTTGTATGTCCGATCATAACTCATAAACCCATATGGATGATTTTCCTCATATTTTTTGGGGGGAAATCGGGAGAACCACGAAAATGTTCTTAGCTTGGTTTTGAGATTCTAAATTGAGTTTGTCCACTCTAATATGGAAAAATAGCTAAAATGGTAATTTACGACCAAGCGCGGGTAAACGGCGGAATTAACTATGACTTCAACTAGTTAATAATGCAATCAAATAAGTTTTCAATTGTAATGTCTTTGACTTTTGAGCAGCACAGTTAACCAATGAAAATTAGAATTGTTTCATTTATTCTTAGAAAAAATAGAAGTATTGAAAATTCCCCCCCCCCCCCTCAAGGTTTCATTGAATTTGGAGGGGTTTAAAATTTGATTGATTCTAATTTTAACAAGAGTAAATGACATTCCTATTGTAAAGAGTTGGTTTAAGTTTATTAGTGAAATTCCTTTGAAATTGTTTTTATGCCACAAAAAAAGCTTTTTACATAAAGGAATGTGTATTTAACGCTTTGAATTCCAATAAATTTTCAAAAACCACAAAATTTGTTCATGAAATCCGCGATTTTTTTTGTTTTTGTTTTAAAATGTACACAAAGATGTTCACAATTTACATAATATTTATATAATATATTTATATTATAAAATATAAACTATATACAAATGTGGCGAAAGATAATCGAAGACTATAGGTAGTATCTGAATGATTTGTTTGAAATTAAATTGATTTTTACAGTCCAAGTCGTATGTTGCAATTTTATGAATTTGTATGGGCGCTAAGTTATTCGGTGTGAGACGTCTTTAACAAGTTTCTCCTTATAGACGCAACAGATAGAAGTAAGATTAGTAGCGATCAAAAGCGCTTTTTTATCGCATTAAGCCTATACCCCCTTTCATTTTTCGCAAACACTCCCTTCAAGTTTTAGTAAGGAATTTAATTCGTACTTTTAAGAAAAACTTTTGAAATTCAAATATTTTTTTATACAGCTCCTGGTTCCTGGACAATTTTTCATTAGTGAAACTGTTTAAATGTTTAAAATCTAGGTTAATGTTTATAATTTAATCGTTATACATAAATGTTTAATTAGGGCTTAACCAATGTTGTTGAACCCTACAAACAAACATGTTAAATCAGTTTTTAATATCTATTCAAATATGAAACCAAATGAATAATAAAAACCAAAATATGGCGTATAATATTTATATTTGATAAATGAATATTAAAAACCAAAATATGGTGTATAAATATTTACATATGATAAATGAATGATGTCAAGTTTGTAACTTGAAGATTTCCCCTCTGAATAGACTGTAAATAATATTAAAGGTGTTCAGACTTGAGAGCTCTTTCAAAACCTTAGAGACTACAAACTATAGAGTAAGCAGTTGATACTTTCCTCGGAGAATTAACACTATAGAGGAGGCACTTTATTTTATACTTAGAGATTAAACACTAAAGAGTGGGCACTTGATGTTATACTTAGAGATTAAATGCTATAGAGGAGGCACTTGATGGTAGACTTAGAGATTAAACACTATAGAGTAGGCACTTCATGTTGTACTTATAGATTAAACACTATAGAGGAGGCCCTTGATGTTATACTTAGAGATTAAACACTATAGAGTAGGCACTTGATGTTATACTTAGAGATTAAATGCTATAGAGGAGGCACTTGATGTTATACTTAGAGATTAAACACTATAGAATAGGCACTTCATGTTATACTTAGAGATTAAACACTATAGAGGAGGCCCTTGATGTTATACTTAGAGAATAAAAACTATAGAGTAGGCACTTGATGTTATACTTGGAGATTAAACAAATAGAGGAGGCCCTTGATGTTATACTTAGAGATTAAACACTATAGAGTATGCACTTGATGTTATACTTGGAGATTAAACAATATAGAGGAGGCACTTTATGTTATACTTATAGATTAAATACTATAGAGTAGGCACTTGATGTTTACCCTAGAGATTAAACACTATAGAGGAGGCATTTGATGTTATACTTAGATATTAAACAACATAGAGGAGGCACTTGATGTTATACTTGGACATTAAACACTATAGAGGAGGCCCTTAATGTTATACTTAGAGATAAAACACTATAGAGTAGGCACTTTATGTTATACTTAGATATTAAACACTATTGAGTAGGCACTTGATGTTATTCTTATAGATTAAATTCTATAGAGGAGGCACTTGATGTTATACTTAGAGATTAAACACTATAGAGGAGGCACTTGATGTTATACTTAGAGATTAAACACTATAGAATTGGTCCTAAACGTTTACTAAGAGATTAAACACTACTGAGTAGACAGTTGATATTAAACGTATTTCCTCTATTAAATGGTTAGTTCTCTAAGACTACGTATTTCCTCTAGTAAATGGTTAGTTCTCTAAGACTACGTATTTCCTCTAGTAAATGGTTAGTTCGCTAAGACATCTTTTGATAATTAATCATCATATCGACAAGGAGTTTTACCTCAAGAACTTTTTATCCTCAAGAGCAACTGTTTTATTACGTTCTACGGATTTTAGCAATTTAAATATAAATATTTACTTCTGATGTTCATGACAATTAGCGTGTATTAGGTACAACTATTTACTTCATTTTCAAATATGATATTATTTATTAGAACTATTTTTCTATTTAGCTAAAGTGACCTTATATACGGTACAAAAATGTATTCTTCACCTTCAAACATGATATTTTAAATATATTTTCCTATTAAACTAAACCTCATATGTATAACTATGGTATTCTTTACAACTTTAGCCCAGCAAAAATATAGAAAAGTTAACTAAATCCCAGATGTTTAAGATATCTTTTTCACTGTTGAACAAATAGAGGTTTTGTACCTTTATCATAAATCTAAAGGTGGGTGGTCACCTAAATTCACATTAATATTTTTCCCTTTAAATGGCCAAATCTGGTTGGTTTATGGCCTGTAAACTAAAAAAGCAAAATCTACAAAACTAGATCTAATTGTTCTCAATACTACTGTTCCACTGTGACTAATAATGGATCAATGGTCTATAAAATAGTGTACCAGAATATATCCTAAATGTAGTTTTATTGACGTTTATTTGTATAATTTATTATTACAAATAAAATAAAATAAAAGTTAATGCACATTCCACACAATAGTATACATTGCAATGTTTAATCTCATTTGTTCTTATTCTATAAAGTGAAAACCAGAGAACTCTGGAATAGAAAGGCGACTTTAAAGAGAGAGACCGGCTAGACATGGTAGTTGAGCGGAAACTGCATTATATTGCTGAGACAAACTTTAGGATTCATTTGATACCTATGAGACATGTTTACGGTGAACAATTTGATAATAGAGCGCAAAGTCGTATTTAATCAAAGAGAATAGAATATATTTTAGAGGGGAATTTACTTGAAAAAGTGTAAAACGGCCATTTTATTGTACCGTTTCCATACTGCAGGTGTACTTCACATATTTATGCTATATAACCTTTTGGGCCCTGGAATATCATTTTGTTGAAAATCTAAAATTAATGTTAAAAGAAAACCAAATTTTGAAATAGGCTGGTTTTATAATTGACCAATGATCATTTCACATAGACTCTATGCCTTTTACTTTACAAACGATGATTTTCCGTTATAATTATAAATCAAATGATGTCTTTTATTCACCTAATTCATTATAGAGTTTATTTAACAGCTTTCACAAATTCTAAATTAAAATGAATAGTCTAGGGAACATACTGTATTAATGTACTCTACTGCATATAATTTGTGAACATTTACATGATTTGTACATTTTGAACTCCCTTTCAGGCTGAAAGGGACTGAAAAAATTCATACTCAAGAGATTCTCTAAATTCCCCTCTAATATATATTCTACTCTCTAACTTTTACAAATCAAACTGTTTTTAATTTTTTTTTGTAGTCGACCCCCCCCCCATTCCCCTCCTATTCTTTTTAATTAATATTTAGGTAAATAATAATATTGATATTATTTGATAATTATATACTTTAACCGTCAAATTAAACACAAACTAAATGTAATTAACACCCCCGCTGCACAAACAGGCGTTAGTAGAGGCTAGCGAGCTAGTGGTGATTTACCTATCCCCCCCCCCTCCTCCCCCTTACTACCCTGAAAGGGACTATATAATGTAATTGCAAGAGTGGCATGTCCGATTTACAACGGTGCCCATAACAGCTTTGTCTGACTTAATATAAAATAGGCATCCATGTTTTGTTTAATTAAAAATACTTATTTTCAAATTTTTGTTTCTCTACAAAAAGTCCCAATAGTATGTATTTCTGCTTCTAAAATGTAGAAAATATCAAAACTAACCACTGTAAAGCTAGAAAGCCGACGTTATCCTACAAATTAATGATCAGATAAAATTTTGAAGGGGCTTAAATATTTCTTTTTTATCATAGGAAACATGAAGAAATACTGAGAAGTTATAATGAAAAGGCTAGAATGGGATTTTCTTGTAAAAATGCAATATTTCCTAGCCTCGCAAATTAATCAATTAATCAATCTATTTCTGCAAAAATCTTCATTTTGCTTCGAATATGTTTTTTTTTTGTAGGGTACAAAAAAGGAGAAATTTTGGAGCGACATTTTGTTTTGGGCCTGACAGGAACGGTTTTGGCATGTCAAAAATAAAAATAAATATCACTTCCAGAAAGTTGGAATTTCTTAAATTTCACTAATAAACTGGAGGATTAAAAAGTGTTTAATCCGCCATTGTTTTTGCAGCAAAACCTAAAAATTAACTTTTACAAAGAATCTATAAATCTATAAATAGAGTGTTATTTGACGGATAAATACTTGACAAACTTTGTAACCTCGTAGCTTCTCAAGCTTTGTTTTCTACGCAGAGTTCATGAAGATCAAATTGTTTAGTTACAAATCATAAAAATCAAAACCATTTTATTCTTCTCAATAGCTATCCAATTAATGGAGTTATGATTGAAAACATAATGGAGTAATAAACCTATTTAATATCTATGGATGACCTATAAGATTAAAATTCTACTTACAATTTACTTTAGCTTGACTTGACTCTTTAGAGTTGTCCATATTCAACTTAATTGTGACTATTTATGTACATGTACGGATATATTTATGTATATTGTACGAATATATTTATGTACATGTACGGATATATTTATGTATATTGTACGAATATATTTATGTACATTTTACGAATATATTTATGTATATTGTACGAATATATTTATGTACATTTTACGAATATATTTATGTACATCGTACGTACGAATATATTTATGTACATTTTACGAATATATTTATGTACATTGTACGAAAATATTTATGTACATCGTACGAATATATATTCATGTACACTGTACGAATATATTTATGTACATTGCACGAATATATATTTATGTACACTGTACGAATATATTTATGTACAAAAAAAGTAAAGTAAAAAATTATTTATTTATGAAATATAACAAAAACATACAAAGTGTTTCAGGAGAAAATGTTAAAAAAAAACAAGAAAATAGAAATATAAGGAAAGCAAAGGAAAGGAAAGGATATGGTAAGGAAAGGATAAAGAAAGGAAAGGATAAGGAATGTTACATATTTATTGTTTACACTATATTTAATATAAATTGGTGGTGGATTGTAAGTATGTTTCGAAGATGAACTAACAACTTTTAAAAATACACATGTTTAGAGGTTAAATACTTCTCGTCAGTCTCATCCTTTGTGGGCAACCCTGTATATTTATAGATGTTAGGTACTTTCCCAAAGGATTTTTCTCCAAGTGGCAACTTCCCAAATGTGCATTTTCCCAAGCGGCGACTTCCCAAGTCTGTCCTAGGCTTCCCAAGTCTGTTCTAGCAGCGGCGCCTGCGCGGGTCCTATATCGGTGTTAGGTATTTTCCAAAGACATTTTTCCAAAGGTGGCTTCCTAAATGACAATTTCCAAAGCGGCAACTTCCCATAAGTTTAGTTAGGCCTTCTGAAGCGCCGTAGGCTGCCCCATTNATCAGTGTCAAAACGGACACTAGCAATCTATAGATCAATACCAGTACTCAAGAGTCAAGGTATGATCCAATTGTGTTAGCTATCAGTGTCAAAACGGACACTAGCAATCTATAGATCAATACCAGTACTCAAGAGTCAAGGTATGATCCAATTGTGTTAGCTATCAGTGTCAAAACGGACACTAGCAATCTATAGATCAATACCAGTACTTAAGAGTCAAGGTATGATCCAATTTGTATGTTTCAACATAACCAAATTACTCAATTCGTATTTAAGGTTTATATGTGACAAGTTAAAGTTAATAGAGGTAATTACAATTCCTACATGATTAAGGTAATCATGTTACGTATTACAGATGTGCGTATTTATAGGATCAGCGAGGATAAATAACACAGTTATCTCCACATATGTTTATAAGCTGAATGTACATATTGCAGGGTTTAAGCTAAAACCATGTTACATATTCATCTGAAACGCAGTTCAAATGAATAATGGGTTTTTACGTAGAAGTTTACAAACATAAATAATTAAAAGTTCGGTGATAGTGATGGACCAAACCTCTGTAGAGAAGAAAAGTAGATGTTAGTTCCACATTTTATTGAAAATATATTTCGGTCTAGGTTGACCCTCGTCAGTTCTTGAGATTTTTTCTGTCATAAAAATTAAAAACCATTCGATAATTAATAATGTAGAATGTACTGCCAGTTATACAGAATATCATGTGACCCTGTATATATTACAGATGCACTACCAAAATAGTGAACAACTCCATTAATGACCTATTAGATAAGGTTAGGAAATTTTAAATTCTGTTTAAAACAAATATTACTCAGAGGAACACACATTGCTAGTTAAATGTCACATAAACTTGGAAAAAAATGAGTAACGAAAAATTAAATATACATACAAATTTTAGATTTGTATATGGGTGGCAAACAGACATTGTTTTTATACTTCAAGATTGAGGGGGGGATGTACTAGCTAGTCAGGTTTTATCATATTTAGGTTTTGAATGGAGAGTTACTTAAAACGTGTACTAGCTAGTCAGGTTTTATCATATTTAGGTTTGGATCAAGATTAACCCTTCTCCAGGTCCTCCTTGTAGCTGGACTTTACCTGGATCCAGCCCAGAGTATTCGTTGCTATTCTTGCAGGTAATTCAAGATTTTATACAGGGGGGTTATACTGAAAGTGCATCGTGCAATAATAGGGACCGCAACCGGATAAACTGAAGTTAGAATTCTTTTAAACAATTTTATTTTTGGAGTTTGCGATTTTATATTTTTCCTGAAATAAAAAATTTCCTTAAATTGTGTGAAAACTAAAACTTAGTATTAAGAATTATGTTTTTTGCCATTTTCTTTAGAGAACTTCATCGTTCTTTTTAACCAGCAATATTTAATTTAATGCTTTTATAGTGTGATTTTTAATACGTGTTTTTTATCACATATTTCAAATTTTCGTCTAACAATCTGAGTTCATTGTAAAATTGGAGTAATTTATTGATATTATAAATAATATGTTTATATGTATATAGTAGATATATATTATATAAAGTGTATTTATTTTGTATGAATAGCACACAATGATACATCCTGGAAATACTAAATGTAAAGGTCTGTAGACCTTTTCAACAGTCAGCTGTAATCGTTCATCCTGCAAAGATGTAAGCAAAAAATACTCAACCCTAAACAGGCTGGGGGAAGCGTTTGGCGCCCCCCCCCCCCCTGTAGTTTTTTTGTCCTGGCACCCTTATTTTTGACACTATCACCGCGAAATTTGTTGACTTTTAATGAATTGTAATTTGAAGGATTTTTCGTTAACATTTTTTTTTTATTTTTAGGGTAGAATACAGGGCGGAAAAAAAAGTCTGGTCTGTGGAAAAAAAATCTGAAATAACCCATAACCTTTTTGCGACTAAAGCTACAAAACTATATTTTTTAAAAGCCCTTGAAAATTGCATGTAGAAACACGTGTCACAAATGATATTTGTGTAAAACTTTTTTACCATTTTTAGACATTTTTTTCAACCCTCCCTAGCACCCAAACTATTAAAGTTATCTATGAGCTGGCCATGAAAATTGGGCTATGAACATGCATTTTAACCCTTTACCTATTCTCTAAGGCCTTTTTCTAGGGAGGGAATTTGGCTTGTTGGTCTGGGTGTTTGTTTGTTTGTATCCAATAAACGTCAAAACGGCTGAACCGATCGGGCCCAAATTTTTTATGGGACATCACGTGACCACAGGGAAGGTTTATGAATGATCAAAATTTCAAATATTTGTCTCCATCAAAATTCGATCTTCATTAAATTTTTAAAAGTTTTGAAAATCCACGAAATTATTTTTGTTTTGTTTTACGATGTGCACATAGAGAACATGTTCACAATTAATTTAGAAGATGGGCGCGAAGCGCCCTATAAGGCTACTATATATATATATATACATATCAGTTGAAACGCAACAATGCTTTTATGCAATCATCAGTATGAATGATTTGAGAATTTTTCACAGATGTTTCGCGGATTTTCGCAAGATGTTAAATAAATTTTCAAATTAATGTTACATATAGATACATACAATAAAACAAATATGACGTTAAAAAAATATATATATTTTGTTTGTGTTTGTGATGGGGGGGGGGGCGGTGTTAGTGACCTACAGCCGCTCCCAACCGTATCATTTAGAAAAATCTAACAAAAACATGTTAGATTTTCCCGAAACACACAAAAATGGGATTCCACAATTTTGCTGATTCCATGATGCTACCTCAGAAAATTCAAAACATAAGTCTATATCAAAAATTGCCGTTTTGTTGTTATTTAAATAAATAGGATTATGTATAATGTCAACTTTGTTGTTATTTTAAGGGATACGTTTTGAATGGAGAGTTACTTAAAACGTGTACTAGCTAGTCAGGTTTTATCATATTTAGGTTTTGAATGGAGAGTTACTTAAAACGTGTACTAGCTAGTCAGGTTTTATCATATTTAGGTTTTGAATGGAGAGTTACTTAAAACGTGTACTAGCTAGTCAGGTTTTATCATATTTAGGTTTGGATCAAGATTAACCCTTCTCCAGGTCCTCCTTGTAGCTGGACTTTACCTGGATCCAGCCCAGAGTATTCGTTGCTATTCTTGCAGGTAATTCAAGATTTTATACAGGGTGTCCCACGAAACATGACAGTTGGTATAAATAGATTAGAATGTCTTCTTCCATAATTTGATAAGTTTTTTAATACGAAAGACAATAATAAAAATTTTATTTAGGAGTCATATTATAGTAAAATTGATTTCAAAGTAAAATATACTAGGGCAAAAGATTTTTTAAACGAAATAAACTGCAAACAGCCTTTGGTATCTAATACAGTGCATGGAAGACGACATTTAAAACTATTTATCAACTGTCATGTTTCGTGGGACACCCTATAGTATCTGTATAAGGTTAGGTAACCTGTGATAAATTTAATCATAGATTAATAGCAATACAGATAGAACACTAGATGTTGCCTTTTCAAGATTTAAGGTTTATTCGTTCACAACAATCCTGAGGCAGACGTCTAAAGGAGTTACGCACATGCTCTCGTTCTGTCCTGTCATTCGACGCAGCGTTTGGGCTTCTGCCTTCAGGGTTGTTGTCAACGAAAAACCCCTTAAACTTGAAAAGACGACATATAGTGTTCTATCTGTATTGCTATTAATCTATGGAATTTACCTACAGTAGAAATGTCCTCCTGATAATTCCACCACTCATTGATCCATATACTGTTAAAAAAAAAATTTCAGAGAATTATTGTGTTTCTCTGTTAAAACAAAAGCAATAGTTTTTATTGATTTGTAAAAAAAAGTTGTTTTCCAAAAAGTTAAAAGTTCAAACTTCCCATCACTATTACTTCCAGTTGCACTGTAAATGTCGTCTTTATACCAACAGATCAAATTCTAAATTAGTGAATATTTAATTTTATCGATTGATATAAATTATTATTTTTCAGTCAAGGTGGGAACTGCCTGCAGGGTAAGTTTTAATTTCCTCCAAAAAATGGAGTGTTCTCAAAATTAAAAGGGGTTTGGGCTGAAAGGCAAATATTCAAAATTAATCTGTGATGTAATCATTGAAAGGCAAAAATTCAAAATTAATCTGTGATGTAATCATTGAAAGGCAAATATTCAAAATTAATCTGTGATGTAATCATTGAAAGGCAAATATTCAAAATTAATCTGTGATGTAATCATTGAAAGGGAAATTTTCAGAATCGATCTTATAACCTGATCAATGAAAGGCAAATATTCAGAATTGATCTGTGATGTGATCAAAGAAAGACAAATATTCAGAATTGATCTATGATTTGATCAAAGACAGGCAAATATTAATGACTTGATCAATGATAAACAATCATATCAAGAATTGATCAATGATTTAATCAAAGACTGGCAAATATTAATGACTTGATCAATGATAAACAAATATCGAGAATTGATCTGTAAATTGATCTTTAGAAGATTCTGAGTACGGGTATGGGGGTTTGATACAATGTCCGGCCAACACCAGGTAATGTATCATTTAATCAATCAATCAATCAAGTAAAGTATTGTTTTAATCAATCAATAAAAAAACAGTAACGCCCATCAAACTATAGATCAAAACTTTTTAAAGGGTTGAAAGGGACTGTATGCATAGTTTCGAGTGACCCTGCATGCAAACGTGACAATGCCCGATTCACAACGATGCCCTTTAAAACTTTATCTGATCAATTATGTGGAAAATATTTTCGTTTTTCTAGGTTTAAAAGTGTTTTATTTTGATAATGTTTTCCTTCTATAAAAATGTACAAGTCAATTCAGCAGAGAATCCACAATTGAAAATAATCAGTTTTCAAAACGATAAACATTAATATATTATTCATACTTTATCATGCAAAGCTTTGTTGTGAATCGGGCATTGCCATTTTTCCATGAAGAGCACTTGAAGTTACGCTTACACCCGGGTAGAATCTTAGAGTCTGAAACCTAGTCTTAGACGCCGGGCCGACCTCCTCAGACCCTCTGTTTTTGGAAAAAAATATCAAATTTCAACAAATATATGGAATATGAGCAAAAACCATTAAAATATTTGAGCATTCCTCTCCCCATCCCTTTCTTCAAGCACCCCTCCATATGTCCCAACCCCAGTTTCTGCTGTTTCCCCCCAAGTCTGATAGAGGTC